ATATGTACATTTGAAAGTTAAATAAGTATTAACTCTGCACGGTTTACTTTTTAAAAACTATAATCTCTACCTCTTCCTCCTCTCCATTTACTCTTCCTCTGTTATAAAGGCTCTGAATTCTTTTAACTATTGGTTCTCAACTGGGAGCAAGAGAACATTGGCAATGTCTAGAGTCAAAACTGCTATATAGCCTACAAGAGCAGTCAAAACTGCTGTATATCCTACAAGAGCAAGACAATTCCCCAAAACAATTACTCAGTCTAAATTGTCAATAGTGGCAAGGTTGTTAAATCCTACTTTTAACTGGTTCTTTTGGTGTTTTAGTTTTGAGCATTATGTAATAATTTCTATGAAAAATTTGGGAGTCCTGGTGTGGCACTGGACTGCTAAACATAAGGTCCGCGATTCAAATCCACCAGCTGCTCTTCAAAAACTACACAGAGTTACTGTGATTGGGACCTGACTCAACAGCACTTAACAACCACGTGAAAAATAAGGAGTCTTTATGGAGTCCTGATGTGGTACCATAGGATGAACTACTAGACCATAAGATTGTCTTGAACTGCAAGGTCGGTGGTTCAAACCGACCAGCTGCTCCTCAGAAACCCTTTACAGTGTCGCTATGAGTTAAAACCAACTTGACAGCACCGAACAATGGCACAGTTACTGACTGGCATTCCAACTCACCAGCCTATCCACAAGAGAAAGATGTGGCAATCTGCTTCCTAAAAGGTTGATAGCCTTGGAAACACTATGGGGCAGTTTTACTCTATTCTGTAGGGTTGCTATGAGTTGGAATTGACTCAAGGGCAATGGATTTGGTTTTGGTTTTTAATGAAAACGAAAAATGTAGCTCTTTTCTTTCCCCATTCTTCTATTTTCTCAGTATAATTGTGGAAAACTCATTTTTCAGATTTATCATTATTATGAATCACCATATAAGCTATACAGAGCTGAGTTTTGTAGTTAAGTAGGATTATTTTCCTTTCCTTCATTCTTTTTGTTTTCCTTATAGTTTGTAATGACCCTTTTTTGTTGTTGTTTGTGGGATTTTTTTGGCTTTATTTTATGCTTTGTAATTCACTGCTCCCACCAAACTTTCTCCATCAGTTGTCTAAATCTCCTTTTGATATCTTTATTCAAATCCGTTTCTCTATCAGTCTTGGCTTCCTGAAAAAGGTGCTCCTGGAATCTGTGACTAACAGGCTTCAATTTGGACTATTCTTTTACCCTTTTTGCTTTGTGTAGAGTTATCATCTTGGCATCTCCTTTCACTATTATCTGGGAGTTATCTTTGTCTTTTTTTTTTTTTTTTGTATGGATGTGCTGTTTTCTGTACCTCTATGTCTGTTATTTTTTTGCCTATTGCTCTGAAGTTTCTCAGTGATATTTCTTGGTATGGTTTTATTTTATCTGTTGTTTGAAGCAGTAGGTGAACTTTTGTCATTTGAAAACTTATATCCTTCAGATCAGACTGGAAAATTTTCTTGATTTATGTTTGTAGTTTGGTCCTTGTTTTACCCGTTCCTTCTGTAGCTTTCACCATTCTGTATGTTGAGTCTCTTGGAACGGTTTTCTTTATCTCCCACTTGCCAGCTAGTTGTCCCCTAACTTTACTTTCTGTGATATTTTCTCAGCTTTATCCACCAATTAACTTGAGCTTTAATTTCTGTTGTTTTTCTGTCCAGAAGCTTTTGTTTTGTTTTGCTCTCTGGATGGTCTTTTTAAATAGGAACCTGTTAAAAACAACAGTATCTTCTCTTACAGTTTTGAGAATATTCTGGTATTGCGTGATAGAGTAAGTATTGAATTACTAACCACAAGGTTGGTGATTCAAACCCATCAACTGCTCCTTGGAAACCCTATACAGGATCACAGTGATTTGGAATCGACTCCAAGGCACTTAACAACTATGCTAGTTTGCTTTATTCAGAAGTAGTCATGTGCTTAGTTCCCTTCCCTTTCTCCATTCTGCTTTGGAAAACTGGAGCTTCTGGAAGGATTAAAGACAGTTTATTCCTGGCAGCCACCAATTTTGTTTTGTTTTTCTTAGTATACTCAGATTCCTCCAAATTGCCTTTTTTACTGTTGTTTATTTTGTTTTCTCTTTTTCATGTTAATGGAGTGCCTCAGATATATGCTAATCTCCCCCCCTCCCCACTCCATGTTTAATGCGTAGGGGATTAAAAAGCTGATGAGAATCTCTGATCATGTTCATAGAGCTAGTTGACGATAAAGTTCACTATAGAGTGATCTCACCAGACCATTCAGTTGGGGAACTTCCCAAGCCCCTCTCTTTAAGTCTGTCTTCAGGTAGTCAAATTACCTAGAAAAAACTCTTGTAGTCCTTTAATAGATAGAGGGCTTGCTGCTAGCATTCTAGCGCTCATATGGGGAAAAAGAGCTTGAGGTCCCAATATCCAATAAGACACATACTTCATTTAATCTTGCTGTTTTCAGTATAGTGCCCTCCAGTCCCTGCTTTGTTTGGTGGCTGCCAGGTGTAAATGGTCTTTTATCCTTCCAGAACTTCTAGTCTTTTACCTGCTGCATGGAGAAAGGGGAGGAATCTGAGCATCTGCAGCTTCTGAGTAAGACTTTTGACTCAATTATTTCATTTTGAAATAATTTCAGATGTATAAAAAGAGTGCCAAAAATAATATAGAGTTTTCCATATACCTTATCTCCCATGTAGGGGAAGATTTTTGGAAATACAACTCCTGGACTTTGCCCTGGAGATTCTAATTAGATTGGTTCATGTTGAGACATAGAACTCTGTGTTCTGAAAACACTCCTTAAATAGCTGCAATGTGCATCCAGATTTGGGAGCCACTTTCTTAGTGTTTGTAAAGACTAGAGAAACACTTACTTACTAACTCAATAATTGCTTGTTGAGTAATTTTAATGTAGCTGACACTGTGCTGAGCATTAGTGATAAAGGTGAATAAATGAGTCCTACGGTTTTGTGAGTATTGTGAAATGGGTGAGATAGAAGAACTAGGATTCAGCAACATAAATGCTAGGTTTAAGCACACAGATGAGGTAACAGCTCCCTTCACGTGGAAGAATTAAGAACAACTTAATGACTGAGGTTAAAATTTGAGCCAGTACTTGAAACCTTAGAAGTTTCCCATGTGAAAAAGCATATTCAATAAATTGAAAATTAACAATTAATATAACATGCAAGTAAAATTGTATTGAGATCATTCAAAAACAGTTGCCAGCAGTACATCGACAGGGACTGCCAGAAATTCAAGCTGGGTTCTGGAATTAAAGATATCATTGCTGATATCAGATGGATTTTGGAGAAAAGAAGAGAATACCAGAAAGATGTTTATTTGTGTTTTATTGACTGTGCAGAAACATTCGAGTATGTGGATCATAATAAATTATAAATAGCATTACAAAGAATGGGAAGTCTAGAACACTTCATTTTGCTCCTGTAGAATCTGTACATAGACCAAGAGGCAGTTCAGACAGAACAAGGGGATACTGCGTGGTTGAAAAACCAGAAAAGGTTTGCATCAGGGTTGTATATTCTCACGATATGTATTCAATCTGAGCAAATAATCCAGGAAGCTGGACTATATGAAGAAGAGTGTGGCATCAGGATTGGAGGAAGACTCATTTAATAACCTGCAATAAGTAGCTGATACAACCTTGCTTGTTGAAAGCAAAGAGAACTTGAAACACTTTAGATGAAGATCAAAGAATACAGTCTTAAATTTGTATTACACCTCAATACATAACAAAATTCTGCATAACTGGACCAATAAGTAGCATCTTGATAAAACAGAAAAATTGAAATTGTCGAGGATTTCATTTTACATGGCTACGCCAATGCACATGGAAGCAGCAGTCAAGAATTCAAACAGTATATTACATTGGGCAGATATGCCACAAAAGATACCAGCTTGAATGTTAAGGTGTGCCTGGCCCAAACTACAGTATTTTCCGTTGCTTTATATGTATGTGAAAGCTGGACAATGAATAAGGAAGACCAAAGAAGGACTAATGCCTTTGAACTGTGGTCCTAGTGAAGAATATTGCCTATGGATTGAAGAATGAACAAATTTGTCTTGGAAGAAGTGCAGCCACAATGCTCCTAGGAAGTGAGGATGATGAGACTTCATCTCTCATACTTTGGACATGTTGCCCAGTCCCTGGAGAGAGACATCAAGCTTAGTAAAGGGTCAGCAAAAAAGAGGAAGACCCTAAACAAGATGGATTGATACAGTGGCTGCAACAGTAGACTCAAACATAGCAACCATTGTGAGGATGGCATAGAACTTGACAGTGTTTCATTCTGTTGTGTGGACAGTTGCTATGAATCAGAAATGAATTGGTAGCACCTAACAACTCTGGTCGTGTATTGGTTATGGGTTGGGCCACTAAGCTCAAGATCAGCAGTTTGAAACTACCAGTCGTTCTGTGGGAGAAAGATGAGGTTTTCTGCTCCTATAAAGATTTATAGCCTCAGAAACCCTGTACAGGGTCACTATTAGTTGCAACAGACTCCACAGCACATCACCACCGCCGCCAACAAAAACAATAAGAAACAGCATGCATAAAAACAAGGAGTTATGAAGGGTTGTGGTTATATTTATAAAGTGGTAAGAAGATGGCTGGTAGACGGTGGAGGGAATTAAGGGTGAAAAAGTATGTTGCGGATGGACTTCATATAACGAGTTAGCATTTTTTCATGCAGTCAGTAGGAAGGTAGTGGGCTTCAGGAGATAGGAGAGTGATCTGTTCCGGCATGATGGGGTTTTTTTTGTGTATGTTAAAGAAATTATAGGTGACAGCAAGAGATGACCTGTGATGAGTATGGAAAGGGTAAACATTGAGGAAGGTGTGACAGTATCTGATAAGAAATCATGAAGGTCAGTAGGAAAGCATGCGTTGCTGTTAAAACCATTCAGGGAATAAATCATTTCTTATAGTCTGTAGTAGAAATAATTCTTTATAATGGTTTTTTCTTGTGTTTTGTTTTTTTCTAGGTTTGAAGTCCTGAGTTTTCTCATGCTGTGCTATAACTCTGCTATTGTGTATATGCCTGCCTCATCATACCAATCCCTTTGTCGGATGGGCTCCAGGTAAGAAGAGCAGTTAGCATTAGCCTTCATTTTCATTCAGTTATTTAACAAATGAATATTGAGCACATTTCTGTTCTAACTTCTAGTGATATAGTAGTAGACTTAATGAAAATGTTTTTAGTATTCAAGAATTATTTTCTAGCTGAATATTAAGTTAAACCAAGACATCCATGTTTAGGGTAGCGTAGTGGTTACGAATCGGGCTGCGAACCTTAAGGTCAGCGGTTCGAAACTACCAGCCGCTCCGCGGGAGAAAGATGAGGCTTTCTACTCCCGTAAAGATTTACACCCTCGGAAACCCTGTACAGGGTCGCTATGAGTCGGAACTGACTCGACGGCACTCAACAACAACAACAACAACAATGTACCTGAGAGTCCGGATATGGTGCTGTAGGGTAAGCACTGGACTGCAATATTGGTTTAAACTGCAAGGTCAGCAGTTCAAATTCACCAACTGCTCCTCAGAAACCTTATACAGGGTCGCTGTGAGTCAGAACCGACTCAACGGCACTTCACAGCAACACGATGTACTGGAAGGAGCTCTAGTGGCCTGACGGTTAAGCATTCGGCTGCTGATTGCAAGGTCAGTGATCAGACTCCACAGGCGAAAGATGTGGCAGTGTGCTTCCATAAAGATTGACTCTGTCCTTTAGGGTCACCATGAGTCAAAATGAACTAGATGGCAGTGGGTTATCGTGTACCTAATCATTCCCTGGATACCAGTTGTCTTGCATCATTGTGAGTCATATGTATACAGTCTTAAGGAATGTAAACCTCTCCTAAAATTTCTGTATACATTTCACAAGTTACTCTTTTTGTGCTAGATTAAAAAATAAAGGCAATAGCACCAATCATCTATTTCATTTGTGTGTATATATTCTTTAGATTATAATATTCACTAAATCAGAATTTCTAACAATTTGGACATACCTGGGCTGAAATGCAAATTCCCATTATACATAGAAAAAGAAAGTTAAGTAATAAAAATTAGTTTGAGGACAAAAACTGTTTGGCATCAAAGAATTTCAGCAAATTTAGTGACTTAAAACAGTTCGATTTCTGTGTGTCAGGAACCCTGGCATGACTTAGCAGGAGTCGCTGCTTAGGGTCTCACAAGGCTGCAGTTAAGATTATCAACTGAAACTGCAGTCTCATCTGAGGTTCAGTTGGAGAAGGATATACTTTTGTTGGCAAGAATCAGTTCCTTGTAGTTCTAGGACTGAGGACTCCAGCTCTTGCTCACTGTGTGCCAAAGACCATGATCAGTTCCTTGCCATACAGCCTTCCAAAATTAGTCAGCCTATAGTATCACATAATCACATACACGTAACATTCTGTCACCTTTGCCATATGCTGTTGTTGGAAGTAATTCACAGTTTCCACTCATACTCAGGGAGAGGCGATGATAGCAGGGTGAAAAAATATCAAGAGGTGTGGAAATCTTTGGGATCATGGTCTGCTCACCAAAAATGCATTGCTCAATTCCTATGCTACTTACTATGTTACAGAGAAGAAGGTTCCACAAAGACTCCCAAGCCCAGAAGGTTGCTATGAGTCGGTTCAGTTCAGTGGAAGGGAGTTAGGGGTTTGGTATGTGATTAATGACTAACAGAGTTCATGACTGTAAAGTAGAATGTGTTTTCAAGATAATACACTATTTAAGCATTTAACACTTACCTGTTGTTGTTGTTGTTGTTATGTGCCGTGGTGGAGTTGGTTCCGACTCATAGCGACCCTATACAGGATTTCCAAGGCTGTAAATCTTTATGAGAGCAGAACACCTCATCTTTCTCCCGCGGAACAGCTGGTAGTTTCAAACTGCTGACCCTGAGGTTCGCAGCCCAATTCGTCACCACTATGCTACCAGAGCTCCTTACACTTACCTATTGTTGTTGTTAAGTGCCGTCGAGTCGGTTCCGACCCATAGCGACCCTGTACAGGGTTTCCGAGGGTGTAAATCTTTACGGGAGTAGAAAGCCTCATCTTTCTCCCGTGGAGCGGCTGGTAGTTTCGAACCACTGACCTTAAGGTTCGCAGCCCGATTCGTAACCACTATGCTACCAGAGCTCCTTACACTTACCTATTGTTGTTGTTGTTATGTGCCATCGAGTCTTTTCCGACCCATAGTGACCCTGTAACAACAGTTAACTCACTTTCTATGGTTCTTATTCCCATTCCACCCCCTTTCCCATCCCTTCTCACCTTTATCCTTAGCTAAATGCTTCCCTTTTTGTCTTAAATAGTCGACCATTCCACATTCCACAGTGAGCTATTCCCCACCCCGCCTATATACTAATCTACTGCTTATCTGAAAATTGGACTACAAGTGTAAGTTCTGTTCGAGGCCCATAGTCTTAGGTTCCTTCAGTCTTTCTGACCAATAATCCCTGTCTTATTTTATGGTTTTGAGTTTTGTCCCACATTTTCTCACACTCTATCCAGGACCTTCAAAGTAATCCCTTCAGAGTAGTTGGTCATGGCAGCCAGGCATCCCCTAGTTCTGGTCTCAGTCATGGTGACTGATATTCACAGCTTCCATCAGTCCATTGGACTAGTTGATTCGAAGCATCTTCAGTACTCATCACCTTTCTTTCTTCCACACATGAAGAGACCAATCATTAGATGACTGTTCATCAACTTTTTAAGATCCCAGTTGCTACTCACCAAAGTAGGATGTAAAATATTGTCTAAAGAGCAAATCAATTTTCTTTTCAACAGTTCATATATATTTTGCTTCATGGCATTGATTGCAGACCCCACAATATAACATCACTCATCCCCCTTCCACCTTGTGTTTCCCATTTTATTCCTCCTCCTTTCGTAGCCCTTAATGAGATGAATGATAAAGGGTTGCTTTATGGTACTTTTATCAAAGGTGACCTCTCAGACAGTATTTTTACATTTTACTTTATTTACTTTGAGATTTCTATATCTCTGTGGTGGTATTTGAGTGATGTGATGCTCTGTAGGATTAGCACGGGACTGCTAATCACAAAGTTGGTGGTTAAGGTCCGCCAGCTGTTCCACAGAAAAAGCTTTCTACTGCCGCAAAGATTTGCAGCCTCAAAAACCGTATATAGGGTCATTGTGAGTTGGAATTAATTTAAAAGCACTTAACAACAATGTGCAGTGGGGGTGCAAGCAAAAAGCTGTTTTATTTAATGAATCAGGAAATCACACATGGTAAATACTGTCCTTTCCTAGGGTGTGTGTTAGTGGGTTTCCACGACAACACGACAAACAATGGAAAGAACTCTGTGGTCGAATAGTATTGGATCCTGAATTTATGGTGCAACTTCTCACAGGGGTCTATTATGCCATGTAAGTAGTGGGAATTTGAAATTGTATTAATCCTCCTTAATGTTTGGGAACTGTTTTAAACATTTCTCATTCTGCCAGAAAAGGCACACATAGACACTGCATATACACCTGCTACATAATGAACCCATTATTTTATTTTTCTAATATGGACTTCTTTTGTTGTTGTTGTTGTTGTTGTTGTTGTTAGGCACCATCGAGTTGGTACCGACTCATAGTGACCTTATGCACAGCAGAACAAAACACTGCCTGATCGAGGGCCAACCTCACTACTGTTGCCACGCTTGAGTCCATCAATGCTGCCACTTGGCCAATCCATCTCGTTGGGGGCCTT